TGCCTTTAATGGTTAGAAGGCCAGGGCTTGGCTATCCTTGCTTGGTTACCTCCTCCTGGGAGAGCTGGTCCTGGAAGCACCAGGGGAACACAGTCTGGGAAGGAAAATGCCTTCCTAAGGAAGGTGGCAAGAGGTAGGGGAAGAAACAGAGCTGTCAGTACAGAGTCTGCTTGGGCTATCAGAGGGCTGAGTGAATCTGGGTTCTCCAGCACCTCCTTGGAGGCTTCCCCAGGGAGAGGTCCAGGCCTGCAGTGGGGCAGGAGGGAGGGTGCTGGGGGCACACAATTGCTGTCAGTGCCTGGCCTGCATCCTGTGGAAAACTCTGTGCTGGTTCCCTTCAAGCCACCGTCACTTTTCCCCGTTAAAAAATACCTTTAAAAATGCACATGCTTTTCAAGTAAGTGGTTAGGTTGGCCAGAGGTATTGCAGCACACACACACTCAGTGCTTAAAGAATGTGCACTGGCTTTACTGAGGCAAGGCTGGGTGAGCTGAGAACCTGTGGCTTTGCTTCTGTAGCTCTGCACTCTGTGCACAGGCCAACTCTACATTTTACACCTGCTTTGAAACCAAATCAGGATGTTTTGTTTTGGTGACTGGAAAATGGGGCTCTCCCAGGGAAGCTCTAATGTCTTTTTGCTTTGAAAATGTGATTTCATTGTGGTTTAGCTTATGAACACCGTTTCTTACTCTGTATTCACGTGTTCAGGCAGCAGTAAATGGGTGAAGAACCCCTGTTGAATCCTGCAGCTTTTAAGTTGTTGTAGCTCTGGTCAGGAAACACAGAACCTATCTGGTCATGCCTCATCTGTACCACCTGCCCCCCTGTTCTAAGTGTGAACCACACATTTCCAGGAAAATTTGCCTTTCCCAAAGTATTTCCCTTAAATCAGAGATAACTTGGGCCATTAAATGTGGATTTGCATTCCAAAAGCCTCCGAATTAGGTCTTTTGTATTCAGTGTTCGTGAAATGGTCATTACAAATCTCAGCAGTACCCTGGACACCCTCTGACCCCGTGAGGGGATGAGGTCAGCCAGGTTCCTATTCCCATTTACTTGACTGGGCCCTCCCTATCTCTAACACTCCACACCCAAAGCCCTTTTATCCTCCAAATTGCTCTTAAAAGTCCTCTTCGTGCCCAGTGCCCCCAAAAGTCCTGTAACTGCCGCGGTGTCTTTGTCAGGTCCTTGGACAGCAGGCCTAGAAAGGGCTGCAGGGGCCAGTCCCTGCTCACTCTGGGTGTCCCAGGGAGCCCTGTCTCTGTGCCCATCTTGATCAGCACTCCTGGCTGGTGCTGCCCGGGTTTCATCTCGAGTTCCAAGCTCTCTGTCAGCATTAACAGAGTCTGGCTCAGCTGGTGAGGTACTTTGGGAGAAAATACAGAATGTGCTTAAGAAATAATAGGTGCTCTCACACCCTGTGCCGTGTAATCACACAGACATCTCCAATGGCCAGCAGCCCTCTGGAGAGGTTGTCTGGGGGAAGGCTGGTGCCTGCTGGCTGCTCTGGGCTGTTCTGAGATCCTCCTGGGACACAGGGATGAGCTTTGATCCAAGCAAGGCCTTGCCAGCCACATGTGGAGGCTTGGCTTGGCTTCCTCGGGTTGCGTCAGGTGCTGGGAGACACCTGGAGCACATCTCTGCAGGCAAAACATTGTCTGGGGCCTGGCTCCAGCCCTCTGCCTTCCCAGCACAGACGAGCAGAAGGGAAAGTCAAAAGCTCTATCATTTTCCTGTATTCTCCCCTGGTCTATCATTGCTTAATTGCATCCCTAAATCTTATTAAAGTCTGGGCTGAGTCACTGCCACGGCGAGGTGGAAACAGAGCTGAGTAAATCTAAGGAAGGAGGAGTGTCTTCCCACATGAGTGTGCTGAGCAGGAAAACTCCCACAGCAGAGGAATTACTATCACTTCATGGATGTGTTGCATCATCTGCCTGCTGCTGCCTCTAATTGAATGCTCTAAACCCAAATCAAAACACCTGTAGTCCAAAGAGAATATGAAATAGCCTTAGAGGAGGAAATCCATGCCAATTAGACATGCAGATCTCTCTTCATCTTCTGAGACCTTCTTCCAAGCTCACACAGGACTTATAATTGTGGTTCTTCATTGTCCTGTTGCTCTGACTCTCCACAGAACCCACTTTCCCCTGCCAGAATGAGGTTGTAGGATTAACCCAAGGTGGCTGCTCGTCAGGATCCTAAATGTGTTTTATTTGTGGTTCCAGGAGTTGAAGCTTGTAAGACACACTGTGGTCTGTTGTGTGTAGGACTGTGAAGCTGTTGGCACTGGACAGATAATTTGTCACAAACTGGAAACCCTCCTCTGCTTTGCTGTGTAGGCATCATTATATTCTCCTGCATTTTCTGTTCTGGTTTATGATGCAAGTCCATAAAAATCTTCCTTCTGAGTTGATGTTTTCCATCACATCCCAGGCTCCTGTTCCTCACAGTTTCTGTGGTTTAATGTGACTCCTGGCATTCTGGCATGGCTGGGCATATGTGCTGTAGGCAGGGTGGGCACCTTTCAGGGGGGTGGAGGGAGCTTTGGCCTTGTGTGTGTGTATTCCACCATGGAATGTATTCCATCTAGTCCAACCCCCTTGCTCAGCTGCAGGGAATGAAAAGGGTGTTTAGTTTCTCTGCACAACTGAGTGATGATAGGAGAGCATGAGAAAACACTGTATTCAGTGTTTCCTCCTCCTTCTATGTTGTCCTTGATGGGTTTATTGTCCATAAAATTGGGATTATGGTGCCCACAAGTCGTTTTGACTTGCTGAGCTCCACCTGACATGGGCAATCTGGGACCAAGCAGGAAAGGAGCACAAAGTGCAGATGTTCAGAGCTGGTTAAGTCAAGTGAGGTTTGTAGGTTGGGTTGCAAAAGAAACATTTATTTTATTTTATTTTTATTTTGTGGAAGAGCGGGACACCAAGGGGAGGAGGTAAGTCAGCTAAACCATGGAGGGTTTTGCTTAGGCAAATGCAAATTCATTTTTGTTCATCAGATATAACCTGGATAATGATATCCCAGTTATTAATGGAGCAAATGAGGGAAGCACAGCGAAGAAATGCCAGGGCACTTTGTAAATGGAGTTAAATCTGCCATGTGAGAGAAAGCAAAGAAATTCCTGTTGGAATTACAGTAGACAGCAATGCTCCAAAAAAAGAAAAGAAAAGAAGGGCCAGGGGAACACTGTGTCAGGCTGGAGGCAATCAGGCACTTAATGCTTCAGGAAATTATAGAATCACAGAGTAATTGAGGTTGGGAGTGACCTCTGGAGCTCATCTAGACCAAGCCCCCTGCTCAAAGCAGGGCCAACTAGAGCAGGTTGCTCAGGACTGTGTCCTGTTGGGTTTTGAATATCTCCAGGGCTGGGAACCCACAGCCTCTCTGGACATCAATGTTTGACCTCCCTCACAATAAAAAGGTTTCTTTCTTATTTTTGAATGGAATGTCCTGGATTTCAGTTGGTGCCCTTTGCCTCCCTCACTGGGAGCAGGGTGAGGAGCCTGGCCCTGCCCCTGTGCTATCAGCACTGCTGTACATTGATAGGATTCACACCCTTCCCCACCCTCAGCTTTGTCTGCTCTGGGCTAAACAGTCTGATGAGAGAGCAGGGAAGTGGGGAATGTTGCAGGAGGTTGCACTAATGTTTCTGGGCAGATCCTGGTGGTCTAAAGCCCACCTGAGTGCTGCCCTGAGTAAATGGTGAGGTACAAGTAGTACAGAATAGCTCAAACGAGCTTTCTTACTTATTTTTTTCCTTCTCTCCATTTTTTTTTCCCTTTAGTACCTTTAATTTATGACTGTTTTCTTGGCATTGTCTCACATGTCTTCTGGGAATAGTTATCTCTGGGTGTTTTATCTCTGGGTGTTTGTCATTAAGTGTGATCCTGGCAGTCCCAAAAGACAAGATATTTGTGGTGAGTGAGTTCAGGTTGATGCTCAGTTGATTCCTGTGACCTGCAGTGATGAGCAGAAACACTTTGGATAAAGCCTTGGATCAGAATTTGAGCTGGAGGTGAACTTTTACAGATGTTCAGTGCAGTTAGAGAATGGTGTTTCTTGGCCTGTTTTTATTTGCGTATCCTCAGGTTTGGGGAAGAACAGGAGCCTAAATAAGGAAGTCCCAGATATTCAGAGAGCAACAGTGCCTGTTCCAGACCCAGGGAGTCAGATGCAGGTTATTTAGACCACAGAGAAACATCCAGGCCTGTGGATCTGCATCTGAGACAACTGGGCCATGAACAGCTTGGCAAATGTGGCCCCCAGGATGAGCTACCAAAGCTCTCCTGTGGGTTTTTCTGTTGTAGTTGGTTACAAAAGCAGGGCTGTTCCTATATACCTGATGTTACATGTGTTAATATGTTTGAAACAAAACCATCACATCTCACTGAATGTGTGAATACTGCAAACCCTGTTGATTTTGCTTGTGCCAGTTAATATATTGGGGATTCAGGGAAGAGAAGAACATGATTTGATTCTCTGTGTAGCTGCTTTGAAGTTAAACATTTGGTCACTTTTACTAAGCTCTTTTAAATTTATTTTGCTGCATTTGTTTTGAAAGTAAGAACTCCCCAGAACTAGTTAAATATGAAAACTTCCATCATTGCTCCTATCAATGTATCATATCTCCTTCCAACAGAGATGTGTTAAAACTTGTCTTGGATTCAGTCTGCCTTGTCAAACCATTTGAGGGTGCAAAATCAGTTTCCCTGGATTTCTGTCAAATAACAGAAGCAATGGGTCTGGATTCTGCAGAAAACACACAAAAAGAAAGCTCTGCTCTTATTTAACTAGAAAGGAAAGACCAGTTTCTCATTCATGAGAATTTAATTCCCAAACTCATTGTATGATCTTATATCTGCCTACCTGTGTTTTTCTTGCAATAGCCCAAAATTACTGAGTGTGCATGTGTAAGAAAGAAGCCAGTGTGCAAACTTTGGAAGTTATGTGTCTGAAATCCTGGTATTTAAAGCTCTCTGTTTTCCTTGTAGGTGTGTTATTGGACATCCAGCAGCACTTTGGAGTCAAAGACAGCGGGGCTGGTTTGTTACAGACAGGTAAGAGTGAGTGTCCTCTTCTCCAAAGGGTGCTTATGGATTCCTATTTGGGTCTTTTGGTTGTGGAATTTACTCTTACTAGGAAGGTGAATAAATACACTCTTACTAGGAAGGTGAATGAACATGAGGGGTTTTTTTGGCTTTGATTTGCTGTTGGGCAGGAGGTGGGGGCTCAGGATGACTTGAGTGTAGAATGGGCCAAAAGCAAACAAACCTAATGATATTATTTGACAACTAAATTCAACTAGGAGATGGCTACTTCCCCTAGAAATGAGAAACCAACAGCAGGATCCTGTTGTTCTCACTGCTTTAGGGTGGTAAAGAGTGTGATATGTGATGCCCTTCACGTGCTCTACAGAGAATCTGCTGAATGGACAGTGGCCTGAAAATATAAAACTCATCAGGACAAGTACCTGAGGCTGAAAGCTGCAGGCAGGGCTAACAGTCATTGCCTCCATGGGAACTCATGGATTAACAACTGCCCTTGGGTGCTGTTGCCTTCAGACATGTCTCTGGTTGTGGTTAAGGAAGGATTATTGCAGTTCTGATGTCCAGGGATTTTAATGTCACAGAGCCCTGCAGACAGAGCTGCACAACCCCAGGACACACCCAGCTTCTCTGGCCTCTGGTGCTGAGGTGGCTTGGAGGAGTGGCTGTGTCCCTGTGCTGGGTGTGATGACACTGAGTGCTGTCTCTTGGCAGCACATTTGCTCCTTATGGAGAGCTGAAAGGAGTAGCCAGAGAGGAAATGCAGTATTTTAAGGAAACAGTCTGTTTTGGAAACCTTCTGCAGAATTATTAGTTGGAGTCTCAGATTTGTGGTGCTGTGGTTGTCTTGTCACTGTTGTCTGTCTGAGGGAACCACTCTGGAACAATTACATCTCTAAAAAAAAGGAGAATTCAATCAGGTTTTGAACAGCGTGCCAGAAAGACACGTTTTCCCATGCTATCACAGTGGATACCAAATTGCTGTCAGGAGCTTGTCTGTGGAACTGTGGCAAACACTGGACTGTATAAAATCCTTCATTCTTTAAGATCACACCAGAGGTGAGAAGGTTCTGGAGCTCCATCAATTGGCCTTTGATTTCAAGCTAAGGGAAGCACTGCAGCATCTCCTCCACGGCACAGCAGGGTCCTCATTTGTGGCTGCAGCTTCTTGGTAATGTTGTGACACAAGCAACTAATACCAGTTTGTGTTAAACCTGCCCAAGTGCTGCCCCTGTGGGCAGAGCTCAGCTGAGCTGGTGTGTGCAGCACGTGGCCAGGACGGGCTGAGCTGTACAAGTGTCACTGATTCTAAGGAGCATCAATCAGTTCTGCCCAAAGTGGCACTGCTTGTCTGTCAGGCTCCTTTCTGCAGCAATCATTTGTGTTTATTTATTGTGCTCAGAGGAACGGGTCCTCAATGTAGCGTTAGACACAAAGTGCCTGCAAGAAAATATTCTGGTGGTAAAAGGACACTTGCCAAAGCTTGTATTTAATCTTCATTCCCCTCAGTGGATGAGGTGCTTCTGCAGATGATTTATGGACAGCTAGTAAAAGCTAAGCTTCAACAGGGCATTCATTTGTTAATTGCAAGAAATATTATTTATTTCTCCAGCAAACACACAGGGCATCTGAAAACAGCATCACTGAGATATTGCAGGATTGCTCTTGAGTGTGTCAAGAGTTTTCTGACTGATAATTGTTGCTTTAAGGAAAGCAGTATTTTCTGTTGATGGGTGTTTTTTTTGTCTGATCTGAAAACTGAGGGCTTGACTTTGCTCCTGCAATATAGATAATAATGCCCTAATCACAGTGCCATCAGAGGAAAAGAGTGCTCACAAAATAAAGCACCATTTCACATAAGAGTAAGGGTAAGGGCACACATCTGAAAATGTATTAAATGTATTACTCAGCTTAGCAAATTTCTGTGTTGGCAGCTGGCCCATGGCCCAGGTACCCTTAACCCTGGAGAAATAAAAGATGCTGCCCTACACCACCACAAACACTGCTTTTAGTCTTTACTCTGTTCTCCAAGTCTGACCTCTCTCAAAGTGCAAACCAGGGAAAATGGGTGCAGAGTGTAAAAGCACTTGCCCAGGGTGGCAGAGGGACCTGGAGCAGTGCTGGGGCCAGGACTGGTGTCTCCCACACCTCTGCCTTAACCTTGAGCAGCTCCTTTGCAAGCAGGGACACAAATACCATTTGCTTCCCCAGAGATGGTCCTGCTGAACTAACTGAGTGATGTGAGACGAAACTCTGCTCATCCTGAGGATGCCCTCTGAATAAAGAGTGGGTGAGTCCTCAGGTTGTTAATCCTGCATCTAAATGAGTCCTAAATTAATTTACAATGTTAATGAGGGGGAGTGAAATGTAGTATTTGCTGGCAGTTCATACCATTTATCAAACAGGCTTTAAAATAAATAATTTAAAAAATCCTTTTAACTGAGAAACAAAGTTGCACCCATTTTTTAGGAGGAGATGATTCTGAAAAGTCAAACAGCAAGGGGGAAAGAAATCCCCAAAGGTAGTGTTTGACCCTCTGTTCATCCCATACCCCATTCCTTGCAGGTACAACCAGTCTGGTACCTCTCTCCCTCCAAACATTCAAAAGCCAATCCATACACTCTCAGCTCCTGATGCTTTCTGGAGAGCAAAGGGGACTGGTTCCTTAGGAATTGCAAAGACACAGTTTGAATTTTTGCCTTCTTTTACACTAATCCTGAGATACAAGTGGCTCTTTGCCCAAGAGATATAATGAAAACTGGTTGGAGGGACGCTGTAACTCCCTGTACAGAAAAATCCCTGGACACTCCAGCCTCATCCATAATGGAAAGGAGCAGGAGGTGGTGGTGTGAGCAGCAAGGATCCTGTGACAGCAGAGGACACACTGACAGATGGAGCACAAGTGCTGCTTGCTCAGGAGCACTGTAGAGTAACACACAGAATGGGTTGGTTCCAGCCTCACTCAGCTCTGGCTGATGCTGTAATTCTGTGCTGATCTTCCTTTTCAGAGCACTACATGTGCAGTTACAGAAATACTGGGTTAGTTCACTGCCCTTCAGGTCTGCAGCCAAGCTTTCTTTGTGCTTACTGGATAATCCTGACTGATCTTAGAAGGTGATAGAGCATCTCTTTGCCTCCTTGAGCTGTAGGCAGTCAATATATTTATAGACCAGACCATCCAAAAAGCCTTTTCTATGTGTGGAGTTAGGTGGGAGCAGCTACAGAACTACTGGCCTCTAGGAACACAAAGACTGAAGGTGGACAACTGGATTTTGTTAACACTGCTTCAAAATAGTGTTATCCTTCCATAGATACTTAGGCCATGAGAGTAATATCCCAGTGCTGTACTCTGGCTTTCACTAGATTTTTTCCCCCTTCTTTCTTCATTTTTTGTGCTTTATTGCTCTGTCTGCTCTCCTTGCCCTTGGATTTATGTTGCTTTTGTGTCTCTTGCCAGTGTCTCTGTGCCACCCCAGAGCTCTGATAACAGCAGTGCCTGGCTTGCAGTGCAGTTTGTCTTCCAAAGATCTCAGGATGTTTTATACTGGAGGGTGGGGGGGGATAATGAGGCTGACCCTTTTCTACAGATGGGGAAACCAAGAAATCCAGAGGGGAGAAATGGCCCAAAGTGGCTCAGCAGGTGTGAGGCAGAGCCAGGGTGAGAACTGTGGGCCGGTTCCTGAACACGGAGTGTTCAGCCAGGTCAGTGCTCAGACCCAGGGGTTTGTCCTCGTTGGTGGGCACCTGAATCCTCCAGCTCAGGGACTTCTGCAAGTGGAAACTGAGAGGCATCAAAGGGAGGGCATGGCAGGGATTCCATGGAAATGCAGGCAGAGAAAGTGTCCGTCTTCAGAAAGAGCAAAGGGGTGTCACCAGAGGAAACCCTGGTAAGCAAAAGTGTGTAGCGCAAGGTCACATGCCAGGAAAGGTCAGGAAGTGAGGGAGATGGGAGGACTCATTAAAGGTGAATAATCCTAGATAACGGGGGCTCTGAAGGAACTTATCTCTCCTCACAAGCAGAGATGGGCACTCCCCCAGATGCCTTTCAGCCCCTGGTTTCCCTGGAAGCCTCACAGTGCCAGGTACTTCCTTAAGTCTCGTTGGGAGCTCACTTTTCCTGTAAGGGTCAATTCCAGCTAAAACCTCTGTGGATTTGAAAAGTGAAACCTTCTGTCTCCCTGGGTTGCCCTGGTGTAACCTTGTAGTAGATTGCAACCCTGCAAATCAGACACCTGATGGGCTCTGGTGTGTTGTGGTTGTACCCACCGAGCTCGTGCAGTGAGAAGGGGGCTTGAAATAGTGGGAGGGCAGTGGTGGGATAAATCAGACTTGCTGAATTCAATTCCTTTGACTCCCATCTTCTTGTCATTGGCTTATGATGCTCTAACATTTCTATTTATTCCACACAGACCACCCCCTCTGGAGGCTGCCTTTGAGTTTGTGTAGATTAGAGTTGCAGGTGCTGCACATTTCTTTTCTACCATCTGCTTTTACCTGAATAGATGCTGCCTTGCTCCTCAGCTGTGCTGTGCAGAACTGAATCACATCTTCATCTTTCACTTCCTGCTTAACTTCTCACTAGAACAGAAGAAATCATATTCTAGACATATTGTTTTCTATTTAAAATTCGTGGGCTTTCATTCTGAGTGAATGAGTTCTTGCCCCAAGCACCTCCCAGGGTGCTGGTACCTCAGGAGTCCAGTCCAGGAGGGGAGACAGAATGCTTTGTGATTGCTCTTCTTGACTTAGGACTTCAGATGGTTTGGACCACCCTGTCCTACCCACTGTCATCTTCCCTCCTTCCAACCACACTCAACATTCCTAAATCCAGATTAATTCTCTGGCAATCTGGGGCTCAGAATCCCAGGACAAGGTGGAGGAGTCCTCTTTTTGCCAGGAGATCCTCTGAGTCGTATCAACAATGAGCAAAGCCTTTTTACCCAATTCTCTTTCTGTATCTGATTCTGTGTCATTTTTTTTCCTGAACTTCCTCAGCTTCCTGTACGATGCTG